GTTTAAAAAGGATATGACAATTGTTATTAATCTTGCATGAGAGCACAGAAATAATATAGAAAGTATAGAGACTTTGATTTTCACAATTAATTTTTTATACCAGAATCAAAGATCGATCAATTGTGACGATTATTGGACAATCGGCGTTTGAGAATCGTGATTTATCTTCGTTTCGTTCACTTCACTTCACTTCACTCTTTTCACACATTAGAGCGTTCTTCTCGTTGACATCTGTGATATACTTTAATCGTAGTGTATTTCCTAACGGTAACAGCAAATATCAGAATGAAATCGTAACATCAGCAGCAGCAGCAGCAACAACAACAGCAGCAAAGGACAGCAACAATTTAAGGATGATAGCTGACTTTTTAATAAAACGAAAACCAATGTTTCAGTGGCTTTCGTGGGGTAAAAATAGAGAGACAAAACAGAGATAAATAGGAACTCTATACTGTACATACATACACCTACGAATATTCTATACTCTACACTTGGTGTGGTTTATTTTGATACTACCGCGTGCGGTAATATATTTAACGATTGTCGTTAATATATTTAACGAAGTAAATCTAACAAAAAAAAAAGAAGTAAGAATAAATAACTCTATGCCTTTTACGAGCGTTGACGAACCTTCGTGCGGTGGTGGTGCCCGCGTTCTTTTCTTTTCAGCTGCAAAAGGGCGATCGACGACTCCAACCACCCTTTGTCATGTCGAAGGTGTAGTCGCTAAAATCATATTCAGGCGTGCCGGGCGCGTCGCGTTGCTTGAAAGAAAAAAAATTAGTAGTAATCGTCGACCGATCGATCGCATGGTCGATATTAAGTTTCATTTAAAAAGCCTAACAAAATCTCGAGTCGCGTTTTTGCGTTGAGCTTAAGTGGAATTCCTAGTCCAATGCTAATCGGAACAGTCGAACTTCATCATTGAGTCTTCGGTGGAAACACTCCGGTGCACAGTGGTTCCATAGAGTTGCACTCAACACCAGAATGGCTGAGAATTTGCTCTCTAGAAAAATAGTTTCTTAACACGAGAAAGATTACATTATATATACTTAAAAAATATACTATAACTCTATTACGTCTCATTTCTCGAATACTATCAATGATATTTTACAATGCGATTGAACACATGTAATCGAAATTCGCAGCGTGCCTCTCGAAGTTATAAATTATACATACTACATTTTCTATACTTAATTACTTCGAGAGAGATGGACTTTCACAGATCGAGATGTTGGAAATTACTGTTATACTTCGTGTCATAATGTGAAAGAGAAAGTAAGACTTAAAACTTTTACAAGATCACAAACTTTGTAAGATTTAAAAAGAATATACAGTAATTCGTGACTGGCTTTGCCATTCTGGTGGTAAAACTGGAAACAACGTGGCACAAGCATAAATATATTGCAAAAATAGACAGAAAGCAACGAGTGATTCCAAACTGCTATCAGATCATGTTAAGTCGAATCCAGATCAATCAAATGAGTATGAATGAACGCGAATAAACAACGGTAGCACTTGAAGCAAGTTGTTTATTCGAGTTTGTTTGCTTGGTCTAGATCCGGCTTTATTTTAAGGAAAGAACATAGATAATCTCGTATCCATACGTTTACGTACATGTACTCGCGTTTCTTCGGCACCACGACCGGCTCTCGATAGCTCGATAGCGTTAGACGACTGACTTCCGAATTATAGTTACTCTAGACGCGCCGATTACGGTCGTGCGCGAGTTCGCCGATCAGCTGCACACGTATCGATAGTCCGGCAGTTGCGTACTGTATAAAAAAAAAAAAAAACAGATACATAGAAACATCGGTTCAAAAGGGTAAAGAAAAAAATAAAGTGTTGTTACAAAATTGTATCATCGTGCGTATATATACACGCATGATATGGAAAGAGGAATGTCGTATCAAAATTCGCAGCGTGCCTCTCGAGTCTGTTCTTCGCCCGTAGAGAAGGCAGTGCGTAATCGTCGAATTAATGAAAAATGATAAAACTAAAGATAACGAAGAGAAGCGGAAAACCAAGATCGGGTCAAGGCTGGCCCTCCTCTGGCTGGGCCTCCCCACCCCCTCCCCCGCCCCTCTCCACCCAGATATATAACGTGCTATTTTAATTACGGTAATGAGGTGTGTAACCGGCCGGTGTGGAACCGCCAGGGAGAGTCTTTTCCTGTCTGCCTGATATCCTGCGTGTATACGCTTGATGACTGGTGAGATGCGAAACTTAGGCCTCGCTCCACCACATGAAGCCGAAGAGTACGATAAAAATGTAAGGTACGTGTGCGACGGAGAACGCATGAGAGATTCGAGATAGCGGAGAGTTCGAAGGAAAAAATTAAATATGTACAAATGTAATAAATCGTGCGACGATTACGTTGAACCTATTGTTTTTATTGAGCAACCACCCCCACTGTTCTGATTTACATGCAGCGTTTAATTGATATTGCACAGGTAATATTCTTTGATATTAAATCGCAACTGGTGCTAGTTCGGCACATCCGGTCAATCAACGAGAGTCTGTCAGTTACGATAATAATGTATTGTTATTATTATTATTGAACTCGTTGTAAATTTCGAGCTACATTTTACTAATGTGTCCTTTACTGAATTTTATTTGATAAAACTATTATATAAATTGCCCTTCTCTTACTTCAAAAGTTTAGGAAATATGATTTTCGAGTTGTTACTATGAATGAGTTAGATAAAAATTAACTTATCATTCATCAAAAATGAGCGAACTTAACATTATAAAAAATTATTAAAATCGTATAATTGTGTATTAAAAAATAGCAAAGGTGACATTTGATCGTATATATATTAAAATATATTTTTTTTTACCGATATTATTTGCTCAATAATTTTCTGTTACGTTGAATAATAGTTTTTCCCTTATTCTGAAAGAACTTTCTTATTTATGTCGCTTTTGAAGTAAGGAAATGATAATATTTTAGGAAAAATATGATTTTCGTGTACTTGATACGTTTCACTAAGCGTTCCGTGCACCCGTATTCTGTAGATACATGTATACTCTGGATTACCACTATTAGAATGTACTTTCACCTCGATTATATCGTATGCTTTTTTTGCTCGATTCTATAAACAATTTTTTTATCTCGTGTGAATTGAATACAAAAGTTAACAATTGAGAACTCCAGAGATAAATGTTAATTATACTATATAAAAGTCTATTGTGTTCTACCTGGACCTCAAAGTACTGCAACGGCGAACCAGTATTGTCGTATATAAAATTGCCAAATGAGAAAGGCTTCTTATCATCCAGATTTGATAAACCCTAAAATCAATACTTATAATATGCGACAAGTAATTGTTTGAAGTACTAAATATGATACCTGTATGTTTATATATATATATATATATATATATATATATATATATATATAACGATAAATACTAATAAGATATATTTGTTTACGATATTGCAATATACAAACTATATATAATATTACATGTATAGTTGCATAATCAACTCACCCAAACGGAAAAATCTTTTGGCGCCGTAGCAGTTTCCCCAGTAGGGGATATCAATGAAGAGATGTGTTCAAGGCTAACTCCGGACACGTGCACATGGCCGAGTAATCGAATCACCACGCTGCCGCTACTGCCCTTGAAGGCCCAGCATTCGCCCGGCAAAACGCCGGTCTGGTAAATACATTGGGATCAGAATGTCAGTGATATTAAATATAGTCAGGTAACCTGTATTATAGCCCGGGGTGTGTTCTGCTGTTGACAAAGCGGTATGCCGAATAGATTGAGCACAGGTGCACCAGTCGAGTATGGTTCGGTATCTCGTGTCGAAAGAATCGCTCCGCCTGCGGAAAGGACTATGTGATGATGCGTCAAAAATGTATTCCTGGGTAGAATATAGTCCTAATAGAATGTAGTCATAATAACCATAGAACATTCGCAACTTCACTTCACTTTTGTCACTTATAAATGAACTTATAATGACGTTCTTATGATATTATTATCAGAGAGAATCAATTCTCTTTGATTATTGTGGCTTCTATGCTTTATCTAGATTATTACGCTCTCTTTTATAATCTTTTTTTATTCCAAACGATCAAGGAAATATCTATTAATGGAAATTATCAAGGAAACTATTTATGGGAAAAAGATAATTTTGCGATTGCAAAAAAAATGTATTACATATCTTTATAACTAATAAAATTGTATGATAGTTTCTGGGAAAAGTTACAAAAAGTGCAAGTTATTTTTAAGTAGACTAAAAAAAAGAAATGAAAAGGCCACTTGTGCCTTTGTATGTAAGTATCCTACTTACGCATGAAATTGTTAGCAGGTCGCAGCAGAGCGCCCTTTAATTAACATGTCCTATATAAAAAAAAAACTACGTAAAAATAGATTATTGGATAAAACCTGAACTTTCAAGAGCGTAATCCGTTCTTCCAGTTTTGTCGGCGTCGTACGTCTGTAATTCATTTTTCACCATATTTCTAACGGTTTCCGGTGATAAAACTTTCAGCAAATTCTTCGTGTGCAGACTCATTTCTGTTGTGACACATACTTGTGAGAAATGTTAAAAACTTGCAAAAATCATTTGTTGAATAAAAAGATAAATAAGTATAAATATAAAAAATAAAAATAAAAATATAAAAATATAATGAAATAAAATTAGACGCGCGTGAATGATACAAAGAGAAAGGCTTTCATTGCGAACGCTTACGATGTAAATAAGCATAACACATCGCTCTATTTAGTCGATATATTTGACGTCAGAAAAATGCCACTGCACTAAGTGCAGCATCCGGTCAACATTTATACATCGCACCTTTCTTACCCTCAGACACTTCATTTCTCAGATTGAGAATGGCTTCTGACATTTTTGGAATCACGCTGCCTACTTCCTTCAACTTGCTCTTCAGCTCATCGCGCATCTCCATTACGTTCTTCACTTCTAACTAATGCAATTTTTGCAGAAACAATAAAATAAGCGTCAATTCGTGTAACAATATTAAAGTAAGAAATATTCACTTTGGAAAAATATTGTAATAACAAAATTAATAATTACCGAGAGAGTACCCAAATGAGATCTGAGGTTTCTCAAGTCTGTCTTAATCATTTTTAATGACGCACTTGCAGAATATTTATCGCAGAGATGGGATACGCACATCGCTAAAAATAACGGAATTCCTTGACATACAAATTAAATTTATACTATATTTTATAAATCGATCGCATAAAGATATCAAAAAAACCGATCGAAATTTTTCATAAGTTAATTCATTAAAGATTTTGTACCGAGCATTGACGTAATGACGCAGAAAGCGAAAGGTTTGATGAGTTTATGGTACCAAGAGAATCGTTGATGGCAACTTGCTGGGACACTCGGACAATTTCCTGCGTTAACGCAACAGAAGGCGTTCCGCGCGCTCATTAGCGTCGTTTCATCACGTAATTATGTCTTTCAGAAAAAAATACTCTTAGAAAAAACGTGCTAAGTTGATGAAATAAAATTGTTAGATATTGGCAATGCTTTTTATATGTGTTTTTATTCGTAATATTTTTGTTAGTATGTATTCAAACTTAGACAGTCATTGACAAATGGCATCACCTGTATCTACATAATCGATATATTGCAAAAAAATGAATCACGATTCAAAACATGTAAATATACAGGGAAAAAAAAACATAAAAACGATAAATAAATATCAAATAGTTCTGGATTGAAAGAAAAGATTCATTCTCTTTTAATGAAATATTCAAATATATTTTGTTCTATTTTCATGTAATTTATTTGTAGGTGTACAAGATATGTACAAGGATTGTAGACAATGTTAAAACGTGTACATATACATGATTTTCTAAGCGAGCAATTTTTTCGAATATCATGCAAAAAATTGTGATCCAATTCCATTTGCAAATATTGCACACATCTTTTTTTAAACAGGATAGAAGAACACTCGTAATACTTGTAATTCACTTCGTATAAATTGCTATGATCTACTGCAAAATTTAGTACATTTTTTATAAATAAAATCTGTCGCTTTAAATAACATTACAAATTATATATGACAGAATGTTCGCCTGCTTTAAAATACCTTTCATCTTAGAAATTACATGTATAGAATTACATTTGCAACAATATCTTATACATAAAGCATAATACTAATAAAATAAAAATTAAAAATCAAAAGACAAAGTTATATCTTTGGTGATCAAATCACCTTAATCTGATCTTCGTTGATCTTTATTGTTAAATAAAATAACAAGATCATGGACAATAGTAACATATACAAAATGTTACTTTTGTAGTATCCAAATATTTCTTTTTTTTTTTCTTTTTTTTGATACTAAAACTATCTCACATTGTGATGTAATATTATACGCTTAACGTCACTATATATTTTTCAGGGCGGCATGTATACGCAAATTTAGTCGAGTTTCAAAGTCATAATCTTTGTACTGAGTTTGCGCTTTTGACAAGAAATTTTTGCCTTCATTAGGATTCTAAAATATGAGACAACAAAGTAAGAAATTAATATTACATATAATATTATAGACGAAAATATAGACGATGTATAAGTTACGGTATACTTACATTATTGTTATTAAGGCTACTTCCTAATTCATACAACGCAAACGCGCTGACATGCTGGTCGTACTCGTCCTTGGACGGATACCTACATTTCAGACAGTTTCGGAAACTTTTAATGGCCGCTTCGGTGTCCCCCAGATAAAGACACGCTGCGCCTTCAATAAGATCAGTCAAACCCACCATTGGCTCCTCGGAATGGTTTTCCTTGCATTCTGATAATAAAGTTACATAATAAATAAGATAATAATAATTTTTTGTGCAAAGATTAACAAGTTATCATAAAGTATTTAATAATCGCATCTCAATTTTTCAGACAATTTCTCGATTTCCATGTTAACAAATTGCAATTTTATCGTTTACACATTTTAAAATACAAAACGAATGATTAAAAATTAATCTGTTATTACCATGAGAGATTTCTCGCAGCGATTCAGTGGAACAAGACGGAAGAGCGTTCCACAAGTACAGTGACTCGTATACGAGCAACTTATAATACAGAACTGTGTAAGGATGTCCAGTTTCCTTATCAACGATTTTCGGCAGCCTGCGCATGATAAAAACATCAAGTTGCGATTCGTTTTTCGTCTCATGAAACCAAGGAAGTATCTTGCCGTACAGCGACAGGAGAACGTCAAACTTCCCGTTCGCTCCACAACAAACTGTAATATGGTATAATCTGAGTATAAAAAAAAATCTGAGTCTATTGATTCAGGCATCGGGGTGATAAGTTACCCATGGCTAAGTACGCGTAGAAGCCCTTGGACCACCTCGACTGCTGCTGCAACTGCAATAAAGATCGATACGCTTCATCGTAGTTCAAGCGTATCACGTGGCACCAAGCTACCTCGTGTAAACACAATAGTTTGACTTCTCTCTGAGTTGCAACTTCCACAGCTTTACCGAACGCTTCTAAAGCTGCATTGACATTTGTCTGCAAAATGATTGGATCATGCAACAATGGATAATATTATATTAAAGTAGAAATATATAGAATTGAGAATTCATCCAGTTGATATCAACTTATGGAATTTTAACTTATTAACTTACAAAAGTAACAAAACATCTATATTATAATTTCTCATTCAACAATGTAACTGTTATATATCATGTTTACTATGTTGTATTATATTTATATCGCAATATCGCTGAGTGCGAAATTAAATATATTGATGTTATATTATTTTTAGTTGATGTCGACTGGATAGCAAATCTAATTCATTGATTGTAAGCATGATAAATTTTTTTCTACTGAATATATTTAAACACATTTGAGTGTGGCATTTATAATCCATTTTATTTTAAGACCGTCTTAAATAATGTATGAAGATGCTAATATAAATTAAGTTGTTCTGGTTGGTTCATAATATCATAAGATTATCTTAAATATAAGAATCGACTATAAATACTAGATGTTTGTAAATACAAATCTTAATAATATATTTTTAAAATATGATTGAAGGATAAATGAGAATTAACTGTACAATATAAATTATAAAAGAAATTGTAGAAAATAATTTGGTACTTAAATATTTAATTTATTAATACCTCTAAACGTTCCATTCTGCCAGCGAAAAAGAGAAAAAGGGCAGAATTCTGGAATTCGGCATGACATTCAGCTATCAACTGCTTCGCTGCTGCGACCCCCGCTTTTACGTTGGACCCGTCCAGCGCGAAGAACGGACGTACAATCGTATGATACCAAAGTAGAGATAATCTACGACAAAATAGTAGCTCATTGACTAACCATATTGTATAGAAAATTTCTCAGAATATATAATAACAAACACGGAGATTCCCTGGCGGAAAAAATTTACGAAAAACTACATAGATTAAAGACAAAATCTTAGAAATTATTAGATTTTCATATATATTCGTAATGGGACGTTGTGTGGCGTTGTTTCTTTGAAAAACCTACAAGGAGAGAATTTTCTCTTAAAGTTTACCTTGAAAATATGATAGTTGTGAGACAAGATTGTATTTCCGAGAATTTTAATGTAAATCTTTTTCATTCATTAATAAAACTACAATAAAGCAAAATAAATTTGATTAATTTTACTGAAGTGCATGATAAAAATCTTTAAAGTATTATATTGTACCACAGCTACCATATTTTCGGGATAAATTTTAAAACAAAATTCTCTCCGTGTAGAAATCAAGCAACGCCATTCTACGTCCCACTACGAATATCCATGACAAATTAAGAATTTCTAAGATCTTGTCTCAATCTATATAGTTTTTCTGTATTCTATCTACTTTTTCGTAAAAGTATTTTTTCCACCAGAGTTAATATAAACGAGAGTCAGTACACGCCCAATTAAAGAAAAAACGATTAGATATCAGAAAAGGATTAAATACCATGCTTTTAAGGTACTAAATATTTTATGCAAGTGTTCAATTATTCTAGTTTGTAAAAAAATACACATAAGGGAAAACATTCAAAATCCACTCAAAATACACTTACGTAGCGAGCGGTGCGCGCATATCTTCGCCAAGTCGTGCATACATAAGAGCAGCAAGACCAGACTGTCTGTTACCCTCGAAGCCGAAGAAGTGGATCACTTTCAGCACAGACGGTGGCAAAAGACTCACGCACAGTTGGTATACACCGTAACCGAAACTTGCGGCCGACATTAAACGTGTTACCTCCGAAGGTTCCACAAAGCTGCGAAATATATTCTGCTTAATTATTATTTTTAAGCACGACCTACGCGAGCATAGACCGTGTGAGCGAGGGAGGAAGAGAAGCAAAGTGATCAAAGCCAACTACAAATTTCACTTTCGCGAAGCGAATGTATGAAGCAGTGTGTGTTTATCAAAATTACAAATCATGTCGACGTGATCGGAAATCCAATCGAGCATTCCGTGAAATGTGTCGATAGGTGCCAACATGCAATGCCTTTCTCTTGTGAGAGGAGAGGATGATGGGCAAAGGCAAGGACGAAAGGAGACGAGAATTTTTGAGTAAGAAGAAACAACAATTACGGTGTCTGTTGTTCAGACGTGATGCCAGTGAGCGAGAAGAACATTGATAGAGAGCTTCGCAGACCTGATGGTGACGACACGGGCGTCACGTTGTTCGTGTAACCGTTGCAGGATGGTATTGACCATTCCGAAGATTCCGGACTCTGCGGACTCTGCAGAGATGACCCGTTGCTCGGATTGATGCAACATGGGCTGAATCCTGTAAAAGCGTTGAATATATTTATGGAATATGTCTGTTAAAAGCGCTCCATTAATTTATATATAAAAATGATAAAAAAAAACAACAATCGTATAAGAATTATTCATTGAATTCTTATTAATTCTTTAGATTTCATTTAATAAAACTATAGCTGTTATGATTAAATATCGTTAATTTACAAATCTCACAAAGTTGCTACGATCGAAATTGTAATTTGCTGATTTTTCTAATTTTATAAATCTTATCAGTGTAAACGCACCGGTCGGATTTGTACCGAAGGTGCGACGATATAATTGCAAGATTTGAGTGTACGCGTGTTGATAAACACGCCAAGCTTTACGAAGCATCCAGCAGCCACGAACGTATCCAGTTAACTCTTGTTGAAGAAACAATGACACAGCCGAGAATACCTGCGTATCTGCCAGAACTATTTGACGCTCTAATTTATTCACATAGTCCTTCTGAAATTAATTTCATAATTATTTCTTTTTTTTTTTATTAATCTAATCGTTTCGTGAGTTTACTAACATGATTATAAGCATTTTATATTATGACGCCTGATCGTTGTATCAATGTATAATCAAAACTTATCGAATGGCATAATGCTGATTTAAGTTGAAGTCTCGATACTATATCCAGCAAACACTAATTAACATTAACACAAGTATTAATTACAATTTCCTACTAACATAATTGTAACATAATGTGTTATAACTAACAATTATATGTTAATGTTAGTTGATGTTTACTGGATACAAGGATTATATTTTATATAAATTTTATATATTATTAAATTTTCTTATTATTACGATCGATAATTTCTTATTATTACGCCAAGATCATGCTTGCATCTCTGATGCCAGATGTAAATTAGAAAATTAGAACTAAATAAAATTATAATAAGTTAGAATCGTATATGAATAAATCAACTAGTAAAAACTGGTTAGCCGTTGGAATAATAATTCTATATGTAACTTATTTTAAATATATTTACTTCAAATATATGTATGACTATAACGCGTCGATTACTTTCGGATTTGCAACACATTTAATATTTGTCGCATAATTAATATGTATGTATAGAAAGAGGATACTTTGATTGGCACAAGCATAAACAATAAAATATTATATTAATAATATTATATTAATAATCCTGCTGTGAGAAAACTTACATCAGTTTCTTCGGCTCTAAACACTTTACTTTTTACAGACTTCAGCCATCCTATATCGCCCGCACATTCCCGTTCCATATCTTTAAGTAATAATGTGGCTTGCTGAAACTTGTCCTCTTCGAAAGTCATCAGAGCATTCTACACAATTCATCAAATGCATTAAAAATTACTATCAACTATAGACGCTAAAATATTCAAAGTGTGCATCATGTATTTGTTATAAAGATTATCAAAGCAAAGCGCGCTCATTGTCTCATGATTTTATTATACCGTAACGGAATTGTAGATTATCAATTTTACTTGATTCGTCTGGTCCGGGATGGAATCAATCGGTATCGATTTTATATTTTTCAATGCACGAACGTAATGCTCGCAGTTTATTATTAAAACCTATTAATGTAACAACATTCTTTCGCGGCCTTGAGAGTTAAACGTACTTCGTCAGAATGCAGTGGAATCGATATGGCTCATCACGCGATTACGTACCATGAAGAGAACAAAACAACGGCCTGCTTTGACATGGAAGCTATGAGGATGCTCGGTAAACAGAGTTTCGGCTTCCTCAGTTTTGTTATTCAGCAGCAGAGAGATGCCGGTCCTGGCGATTTTCCAGTCCTTCACCGCGTCTTCCGCCATAGCTGTGTTATTCCCGTGAAAAAAACTTCAAAAAGCTACTCGAATAAAATCTTTCTCTCAAGACTGTCGGCTACGTGTTCGTCAAATGGAAAGCATCTTTCCACTATGCGGGATTGTCAGTCGATAGTTTACATCAAGGTCACTTATTCGTGCGAACATACTGATGATTGTTGATTTATTGCTGTTTCAAAAGACAAGTTCAACGGTCGGAAAAATATATATACATGGTACGCGGAAATGTATCCTGTACATTTACATCACGAGAGTGCCGCGTTGCGGTCATCACTGATCGATGTGCGATGCATCCTTACCGCATTTTCTCCTTGGAGAAATAAGCCGCAAAGCAGGAAGAGCTATTTTTGACATATATTTAAAATCGTTTCATATTTAAAATCTAATTTTGCTTATCCCGGAATTTTGATTTTCCAACGTAACGCAGCAAATTGAGCCACTAGGACGAACCTACCATTCGCATACAATGCGCTTGTCTCGATTAAATGCAGGTGTTTGATCTGATTAAGTAATCAAGTCGCTTATGCAGTTGTTATATAAGATCTGTCGTCATATATAATCATTCAATCTCTATTGATGCATTTATTTCTCTTTTCTGAATTGTTTTAAAATTAATTTATGTACGGAGCAATGAACAGTTGGAATTTTTCGCTGAGTGTGCTGTTCCTCGAGATCTTTGATATAAGAACCGAGTTTTATTGTGCGAGTTTTATCTGGATGTAAAATGCAAATACTGATTGCAGGAAAGATCATTTAACGATGCAAAATCTCAATGCCGCTTCCGTTTCTTACAAAATTTCGATAATTATCCGACACCGACATACTACCGGAGTAGTGTCACTTTTCGAAAAACTGTGAACGAACATTGTGTAACAAATGCACGCGAATTCCAGCACATTCTCAAGCTTCGAACCGTATCCTTGCCGTGCATCGGGTTGACTAAACTCTGCTGAAGAAACGCAGTGCTGCTGCCACCACCTCCAGACTGGAGATATACTTGTATTATTGATTTTGGCATAGAAGTGCATATTGTAACTCTGAGCGCGCGCGATAAGCACAATGAGAAAAATAAGAGAAAGAAAAAAATTTGTCATGTGAAAACGTAAAAAGTTCGAAGGACGTAAAAACAAAAAATCTGAGACATCAGAATCTTTTCACGCGGTTTTGCTGTTTCTAATATTTATATATGCTTAAATTATAATTTTTTAAAGCATTATTGATGACACAATAAAAACACATAATATAAATAATCTCATATATTTCCGTATTTTTTAACACAATCGCAAATTTATATACGAAACAATAGAATTATATAATATCAGTACATAGAGTCGTACATGTATTTATAATTGTTATCCGGTATTTAATGTCAATGAGAATAAAATTTGTATTCTGAAGTTCCAAATGTAGCAGTAATGGTCATTCAAAAAAACAGTTTTAACTTTTTTATAATTTTATCTCGCTGTAGAAACTTAAGACTATATATTCTGTACATTTATTTACAATGTTTATTAAATAATTAACAACTACCCCTAAGGGTCATATAAATTCCAGTCCTTCAAATTTTTTATCCATTATTTTACTTTCGGGCATTATTATCGTTCCTTCTATCGTAAAAGCCATGATATATGTAGCGGTCCGTCCTTGATATTCCTCAGTCTTTAAAGCTATTATGATAGAGTCTTGCGAGCCAGGAAGAAACTTGAAACTCGAAAAACCTCTGATTGGAATTAGATTTCCGATATAAGTAACCTATAATGAATTTCATATAATTATTACTATTTATCAAAATAATATTTGATGTAATTAAAAACGCACTTTAATATCAACGAAGTTTTCGTCTGCAGTCAACATGACATTGCAGCTCATTGTTTCATCCCGTGTTTCATTGTAACGTTCATAGGAACATCTTCTAGGCAAGAAGAACCAGCTCTTATGTATATCACTCCAAGTTCCAGATTCATGTATCATGTAACCTATACAAAGTATACGTATGATAAATTAATTCGTGCATTCACAAATTATAAGTATCAGCATACCTGGATATTCGATGTTAATCGCTTGCCTTAATCGTTTGTAGTAAGAAATCCAATTGAGAGAATGCGTTTCGCCACGTGGTGACACTACTTTAACCCATAATGGATTATTATGTTCAAATTCACCGGACGGTGTGGTCCATTCCTTTCCCATACTGCCAATATATAATTGTTCATCTTTGATAGTTGCCCATTCGGATTTAAAGCCTGCATGTAAATAAAAGTTTAGTAAGAAAAACATCCTCAATAAAGTAACATTACATCAATGTTATAATTTTCTTTTTACTCAACAATATAATTGTTACAATGTTATATTACAATTATATTGTTGATGAAAATTACAATATTAATGTCATGTTACTGTTAATTTATGTTTAATGTGTCTTGCAATTTCCAGAAACAATGACAATATCAAATCGTATAACAAATTCAATCACTTTGCATTACACTAGATTAATGCATACTATAAGCTGCTGTGTATGAAATTAAAGTTAAGTATAAAAGTATATGAATATTTTAAACAATTAAATGCCAATAATGACACTGTCACATTATTTAAAAGAACATACATGTATTATTTCATTGTCAAATATACATTTCTATCAATGCAGTTTAATTTTAATCTTGATTTACCTAATTCTTTAACTATATTTTTCTAAGAATTAAAAAAAAAATGAAGAGTAAGTGGAACCAAGATTAAAGTTAATCTTCTACTAATAGAAACAAACAAAAGTTATTGTATCACTGCATTTAGATACTTTACATGAAACAAGCTGATGTATACTTAGTGTACGAGTGACTGAATTCAATAATAGTTTAAGCAACCTACCTTTGTGATTTTTACCATTGCCATCCATCAAAATAACCCAAGGATAGGCTTGATCGCCTTCGATGAAATATATCATCCCTGTACGATCATCGAAGGACAGCAGACGGCCGTCAAAAGTCACTAACTCCGACAGCTCCATTCCGCGTCCTTTCATAGACAACGACGAGGACAGTATGATAATTTTGTCATCCCATATAACAGACAGAAAATTGCTGTTAGGATTCCAATAGAGACTGCCGGTTTTCATAAGGCTGTGCCATGTATCTTTCTTGTCCAGGAGCTTGGAGTCGTGATCGAGGTCGCTCACTATCGCTATCTTGTAGGTAAGGCCCTTGGAGGTTTTGATGGGCATCGAGGTAGGGTACGTTCGGTTGTACTTGTAGTAACGACATTGTGCCAAGGTCTGGCTCGGTGGCGAGCATATGAAGCCGTGCAGCAGCGGATACACGAGGAAGAAAGTCGGCACGCTCAGAACCAGAAGAATCAACGCCACGAACGGACCTTGGATGCGAAACGTGCTGTTCGCCATCCGATAGACGTACGGAACACGCAACGTCTGTCGCCAGTCACGCAGATAAGACGTGGTCATGATCGCCCTGCCGTTCTTCAACCTCGCTACACGTTGTATCAAAGACGTGGCATGTGTCGGTCCCGTTGATGTGTTTGACAATGCCGATGTAAACCTAACCTAAACGCCATCTCCGCGTTGCGGTGACAGTAGCAGCAGCATCGCCGCACAGCACGACGGGGCGTCAACCTAACCTGACCTGGCCATACATGTGACTGTGATGATGTAATAAAATTTCGCTCTCTTTCTCTCTCCGATAATCCTAGGATCGTCTCTATTACACACAGTGCTTCCCAATGTAATACACACGATTCAAGGATCAAAACACGCAAAAAGCAACGTTGGCTAAGTTAAATCGTAGAAATCATTGTCAAAAATCGAGAGACAAGCCGTACGAGCCAACCTCGCGAAGAGTGTCAAAGAGGAACCGAAGGGAAAGAAACCGAGAGATAGACACAGGGAAAAATATATGAAACATTTTTTGAATTATAGGGATGGATTGGTTCCTAACGTAATTAATTATTTGTTCTTGAAATTTATATTTTTTTCTACGTGTTTAATGAACCGTTATGGTGTTTTGTTTATGTTAGAATAGTTAGAATTCTGATGAAAATAAAAATCGGAGCGTAAGTCGGATGAAATGGGAGAGTAACAGAAAATTGAAACAATGAAATGTAAAAGAAGCATTTCCGCTTCTTTTACATCTTGATGTTCCAATTTTCGCCTCCTAGAATTTTCATTTACGGCTTACACACGCTTCTGTTTTTCTCATTATATTCAACTTACTTTCTAATTTTTATTTTCATTAGGAAAGCATTCCAAAAATAATTTAAAAATAATTTAACCTCGTTCGGAATGTACATGTCAATAAGATTAATAAACCTGCATTAATCATGAAATACTTTTAAAGATGATTACACTTCAAATTGATCAGGACTAATACTAATCTCATATAAGTATTCTTCTAAAGAAAAATTAGATTTGTTATTGAAGGAAATTTGAAATTTTAAATAAGTGTGGTAATGGTTGTTAGAAGGTAAATTTTTAGATAACTTGTAAAAATATGAAATTGAATAATCATCTGAACAATCATAAATAAATAAATAAGTTTCAAATTAAAATCATATCTATACTGTACAAATATCTTTATTCAGGAATACGTGGTAAAAAGATATATATTTTTAGTAATAAATAAGACAAATTTAAAACAAAGTAGAAATGAAGTAAAAGATTAGAAATATTCAACTAAATTTATTTATCTACTAATTATTATTTTAAACATATATTTTATTGCGTTACTTTAACAAGAATACTGCGACAAAATTTTCGATTGTCCTAAGAAAATATATCGTTCATACAGCTACAGTTGTATTAGTGAAGTAAATAACGTAACAAAAGTCGTATTTTGGTTGCAGAAATATGATGTAGGAAGAGGTAACATTGTAGAGTAACGTATAATTACAATTTAAGAGTTGCAAATATATAGTACAAGTTTTAGAAATTTAAATAATTATTTAATATTTGAAATATTAATATAAAATTAAAAATATTTAAACATTTATTACAATATTAATGATATTCATATTATATAAACAAATATAAATATATATTTGAATTATTCTACACTTCGATCTCTCAACATGTCGGATCTCCGCAATTACGGCGAAAGCGCATCGCTAGGGGTCCATTAATTAGCGTCGCGTCGGCGAGCGTAACGACGCCGGGCGCGCGTGCACGTTCGAATCGTCGGCATGGGGTCGGACGGACCGACGAACTACGTTGGCGAAATGAATCCGAAGGGGGCGTCGGTAGATAGCAGGGGGGAGAGACGCTGGGGATGAATCGGCGAGGGTGGCAAGACTTGCAGTCAGTCGCGTCACGCGTTTTCCGCCGACTGTGTCGGACGGCGTCGTCGTGTTCGCGCGGCTATAAAAAAAATCAGGCCCTCCGTCGCGGCACAAGCTTCGGTTCCGCTCCGATTTCATTTCCGAGAAACAGCACGCCGTTTTTCGCGCCGTCACGTGTACAGGTGCGATCTCCCCCTCCCCCTTCCTCCCCCATCCCATCCCCTTCTCCTTCGTGCGCGCTCGACCGTAACCGGACGCGATCGGCGCCGCGTCGCGACGCGCGGCAACCTGTATTATCGATCGCGCGAACGCGCGTGTCCGCCGCGTGCCGCAGTCCCGCATGTCGCGTTCAAGCGAGCCGATACGGATCGTGTGTGTATGCGCGCGCGCGCGCGTGTGTGTGTGTGTGTGTATGTGTATGTGAAGGAATTACTAATTTCACTCTCTCTCTCTCGCAAGAGCCTCACTCCGAGGTTTTACGCGACGAAAAACGCCGGCACCGAACTGAATCTGCTTGAGATACGCGCCGCGTGTTTGTCATCCCAACTGCGTCGTCGCGGGTTCCACGCGTGATTTGAAATTGTATGTACATACCGGATGATGCTACAGCCACGTGACTGCTACTCG